ATGGCCCCCCTGAGCCCATCCCCCTCCCCAACGTTGCCCCTGTCCCCAGCCCAGCCTGGAATCCGCGCGTCCGTTCTCCTTCTGTTCCGCAGAAAGCCGCGCACTGTCGCCGCGCGCGCTCCTGTCGTATAACGGGGTGCCCTGACCGCCGCTGCGCGGGAAAAAGGCTGCCACCACTGCTGGTGTGCACGAGGGGAAGGGCGGGGAGGCGGCGGCTTTCAACGGTAAGGGCTCCTCCTCCTCCTCTTCCTCCTCCTCCTCTTCCTCCTCTTCCTCCTCTTCTTCCCTCCTCCTCTTCCTCCCACGCCCGTCCTCCGTCCTCCGTCCTCCCTCCTCCGTCCTCCGTTCTTCTTCTTCTCCCCCTCCTCCTCCTTCTCCTCCTCGTGTTCCTCCTCCTGCTCCTCCTCTACTCCTCCCATGGAGTTTACGGTCTGGAAGCGTTGGATAAGGAATCCACGGTCTGGAAGCCTGTGGAGCACCAACTGAAGCTTGGCCATGGAAATCACCGCCGCCCTCATCAAAGAAGGAACCATCCAGGGTCTGAAGCCTCCCGGGCACGTTGCCGAGCGAACGCCCCCACTGTATCGAGGCCTTCCACATGAGTTCCGAGTAGATGGGCCGGCGGATCACGTCGCATCACCAATGCATCGCCGATGCATCTGCGATGTTGCTCGATGTGTAGCCCGAACTTATCCATGTCGCCGGCGCCGATGCATCGCTGACGCATCGCTGATGCATCAGCAATGCGGCGCGGCCCTCCGACCACTTCTACTCAGACTCCATCTGGGAGGCCTGGATTCTAGCCCGGAAAGGCCGCCCCCCTCACCCTACCCTTCCACATGAGGCAGTGCGCCCTAGGCTACGGTGCCCTGCCTCTTCGGAGCCCTTCTGCCTTCGAAGAAGCCTGCCGAGAAACTTCGAAACATCGAAGGAAGGCCCGTTGAGACAACGGCGGCTCTCTTACCCGGCCCAAGTCGTTCATCATCGGACCCGGGGCCGGTCCTGGGGGTCCATCCTGACCCGTTTTTCGAGGCGAACCCGGCCGTGGCCCACGAGAAGCACCAAAAAAGAGCTCGGGATGGCCGCCGTTGTCTCAAAGGGGAACGAAGAGGAGCATGGAGGAGGAGGAGGAGGAGGAGGAGGAGGAGGAGGAGGAGGAGGAGGAGGAGGAGGAGGAGGAGGAGGAGGAGGAGGAGGGAGAGAGAGGAGGAGGAGGAGGGAAGGAGGAGGAGGAGGAGGAGGAGGAGGAGGAGGAGCGAGGAGGAGGAGGAGGAGGAGGAGGAGGAGGAGGAGGGAGGAGGAGGAGGGAGGAGGGAGGGGAGGGGGAGGAGGGAGGAGGAGGAGGAGGCGGAGGAGGAGGAGGAGGAGGAGGAGGAGGACGAGGAGGATGATGATGAGGAGGAGGATGAGGAAAAAGGAGGAGGAGGAGGAGGAGGAGGAGGAGGAGGAGGAGGAGGAGGAGGAGGAGGAGGAGGAGGAGGAGGAGGAGGAGGAGGAGGAGGAGGAGGAGGAGGGAGGAGGCGGAGGGAGGAGGGGGGAAGAACGGGAGAGAGGAGGGAGGAGGGAGGAGGAGGAGGAGGGAGGTGGGATGAGGGAGGAGAGAGGAGGGACGGAGGAGGGAGGAGAGGAGGGTGCAGGGAGGGGACGGATGATGATGATGATGATGATGCTGATGCTGCTGATGATGATGATGAGGAGCAGGAGGAGGAGGAGGCGGAGGAGGAGGAGGAGGAGGAGGGAGGAGGAGGGAGGGAGGAGGGAGGATGGAAGAGGGATGAGGATGGAGGTGGCCCGTGCAGCCTCTTCCAGAATCGGCGCCTTGGTCCCTGGGACTTCGTCTTGGCGGCGAGCGAGGGGGGAAGCGTGAAGGAGAAGGCCTTCTCCGAAGGCGGCGGGACTTCTCAGAAGCCCCCGCGCCTTCTGAGAGGTCTTCCGCATCTTCGGGGAAGGCTTAGAACACTTCAGAAGGCAGTTGGGACTTTCGAGCCTTCTGAGAAGGCCCGCCCCTTCTCACTCCCCCCCCCTCGTTCGCCGCCGACAGGTGCGACCCCCTGGCCAGAACGATCGCGCGGGGGGCGGAAACACCGATGCAGAATCGGCGGTGCATCGCCGATAGACCAGCGGTAGCTAGGCATTCGACGGCGCAGTCGCACGCTCCCGGGCGGGGCGGGAGGCCCCGGCTCCGAGTGCCGCTAAGTGGGCGAGTGGGTGTCGAAGGTTCCCCCCTGGGCCGACGCCCCCTGGCCGAATCCACATGAGGGGCAACGATAGTCATGCGTTTCCTGAAGGGACGCCGGCGAAAGTGACTTCTGAAACCGCGGCGTTGCACTTGAGACTTCGAGAAGCGAGCGAAAGCGTCACGCGACGACCTTTAGGGCGAAGCCGAGCGGGCTTGAGAAATCGGCATCGCGCGTCTCAAGAGTCCCTTTCTCTGGGGTCCCTTGTGAGACCAATTGATATAGGGGGGACTAACGCAAGGGGGGAACATCGACACCGATAGCGAAGCCTCACGTTCCTGGCCATTGACGATCCATGGGCGATTGGGGTCGATGCGTTCCTCCCTGAGCCTAGCCCTCCGCTGTCGTTGCCCCTGACTACAATCGGCGACTCCGAAGGGTGTGGTTTGCAAATGGTGTGGTTTGCAAGCAGCACCTGGGGGGACACCGTGGGGGGCGGGCGCGGACCTCGATAGAGCTCTCCGCCGCACCCCGAGGAGGCCCGACGAGGACAGTGCCGAACTCCCCGGGCCCCAACGGCGCCTACTTTTTCCCACAAAGCCCCCGAAGCACGACGTCCTAGGAGGCTCCCAACAGCCCTAACGAGATGCAGAGAGTGGAGCACGAGCGTACGAGCACGAGGATCGATAGGATGATGACGAGGAGGGCGATAACGGAGGAGGATCACGAGCCACGAGGAGGAGCACGGCTCGGGGAGGAGCGCGAGCAGGGTGCGCACGATCAGGTGGATAGAGGAACAGCGTGCTGCATAAGAGCTAAACAGCTGGATCGAAAATGGAGCAGGAACATAACGCCTCGTAGTCGTTCCAGCAAAGGCCCCAGCTATAGTCAGTTGTGAGTGCCGCAGTTCTGAATAGTTTCTTCGGTGGATTTCTCATGGGGCCACGAAACGCGCGACGGGCATGCCGAACTAGGAGGAGACGGGGGCCGCATGCGGGCACTGCCACTGGGGCTTTCGGGGAAGCTCCCTCGGAAACGACGCGTGATGGGGTGTGCCGACATGGGGGGAGCCACATGCGAGCTGTGCAACTGTGGGCTCCCTGTAGGATGACGAAGCACGCAGGGGGTGGGCCGACACAGGCGTGACGCCCAGATACGAACGTTGCCATTGGGGCCTCAAGTGGAGCTCCCCATGGTGCCACGGACCGCGTGCGGTGTGTGTCTGTGTGTGCCGAAACGGGCGTGACGCCCACATGCGAACATCGCCACTGGGGCCTTAGGTGGAGCTCCCTATTGGGCCACGAAGTGTGTAAGGGGTAGGCCGAAACGATCGTGACGCCCACATGCGAACGTCGCCACTGGGACCTTAGGTGGAGCTTTCTTTGGGGTCACGAAGCGTGTGAGGGGTGTGCCGAAACGGGCGTGACGGCCACATGCGAACGTCGCCTCTGGAGCCTTCGGTGGGGCTCCCTATGGGCCCACGAAACGTGCGGGGTGTGCCAATACGGGCGTGACGCCCACATAGTCACATAAGAACGTCCCCGCTGGGGCCTCACGTGGAGCTCCCTATGGGTCCACGGAACTTGTGAGGGGTGCGCCGAAACGAGCGTGATGCCCACATGCGAACGTCGCCACTGGGGCCTCAGGTGGAGCTTCCTATGAGGCCCCGAAGCGTGCGGGGTGTGCCGAAACGGGCGTGACGCCCACATGCGAACGTCGCAGCTGGGGCCTTAGGCGGAGCTCCCCATTGAGCCATGGGACTTGTGAGGGGTGCGTCGAAACGGGCGTGACTCTCACATGCGAACGTCGCTACTGGGGCCTTAGGTGGAGCTTCCTTTGGGGCCACGAAGCGCGTGTGGGGTGTGCCAAACGATCGTGATGCCCACATTCGAACGTCGCCTCTGGGGCCTTAGGCGAAGTTCCCTATGCGGCCTCGAAGCGTGTGAAGGGTGCGCGGAAACGGGCCTGACGCCCACATGCGAACGTTGCCTCTGGGACCTTCGGTGGAGCTCCTTATGGGGCCACGAAACGCGTGTGGGGAGTGGTGGAATGGGCGTGACGGCCACATAAGAACGTCGCCACTGGGGCCTCAGGTGGAGCACCCGATGGGCCCACGGAGCGTGTGAGGGGTGTGCCGAAACGGGCGTGACGCCCACATGCGAACGTCGCCACTGGGGCCTCAAGTGGGGTTCCCTATGGGCCCACGGAGCGTGTGAGGGGTGCGCCGAAACGGGCGTGACGCCCACATGCGAACGTCGCCTGCGGGGCCTTCGGTGGAGCTCCCTATGGACCCACGAAGTATGTGAGAATTGTGCAAGCAGGTTTGACATGTGGAGGGCAGAGGGGGGCGGAGGGAGGCCTCGGAGGGGGAAGGAGTGAGTGACGCGGGGCGCTCTCTTCAAAACGAGGACCCCACACCACATGATGGTTGGGAGCAAGCACTCTGACAAGCGACGCCGTTCAGCAAACGCGCCTAAAGAATGCAAATCGGACATGGCAGGGCTGCTTCGTATAACCGTCCAGGGCCGTCTCGGAAAAAGCCACTTCTACGGGCAGCAATGGCCTTCCCCCCTTGACAGAAGGCGGGGGTGGAGGAGGAGGAGGAGGCGGAGGAGGATAGGAGGAGGAGGAGGGAGGAGGCGGAGGAGGAGGAGGCGGAGGGGAGGAGGAAGAGGAGGAGGAGGAGGAGGAGGAGGAGGAGGAGGGGGGGGAGGAGGAGGCGGAGGATCTCCTTCGAAGGCAGGGGCCGTCGAAGCACGCCGCCGGCGCCGCCGACCACGGCCGCCGAGGCGGCCGCCGCGGCGGCCGCGCCGCCCCGCGCCGTCACGAGCCGAGCAGCGGCGCGTCGATGGCGGGGCGCCGCCCGCCCGCGGCCTCTCCCGGGGGGAGCGGCGCGCGCGGCGTGCGCGCGGCCGAGGCCCCGCGCAAGGCGAGGGGCGGAGCGGCGCCGCCCCCGCGAGGGGGCACCGACGACGGCGACGACGACGACGACGACGAGCTCGACGACGACGCTCACGACTCACGACCGGCGGCCTCGGCGACGGCGGGGGCTCCACGTTTCCGGCGTTTCCAACAGGTCCTCGGCCCCATCCGTGCCGTGCCTCGGCCGTACGTGCTTGCCCGCGCGGGACAGCAAGGAAGCTTGGAGCTCCTGGAGCGTTGTTTTTGTTCTTTGTTTTTCTGGTAAAAAACAGAAGCAAGTACTTTCCTTTTTTTGATCGGAAGGCAGCGCCCAGGTGCCAGAAAAACGGAGGCCACATCAGCGCTGAGGCACGAGCCTTCTTCACGCACCCGTGGCTGCAACAGTGGCTCGCTCCTCTTGGTGGGCGGCGGCGGCGTGCGGTCGCGCAGCGGTCGCGCAGCGCGCGCGCGTCCACCGCGACGGTGTCGGGCTGACGTGCGCCACCGCGTCAGCCAGACAGCTGCCGCGCGCTGCCGCGCGCGCGCAGCCGCCAGGCTGGCACTGAAGGTCGCAGGCCGCGCCACAGAGTGCGAAGCCGCGGGCTGGGGCAGGAGCATCATGATGGCGAAGGTTCTTCCTTCTCCTGTTCCTCCTTCTTCTCCACTTCCCCCTCCTCCTTCTTCTTCTTCTTATCCTGCTTTTCCTCCCCCTCCTGCTCCTCGTCGTCGTCGTCCTCCTCCTTCTCCTCCTCCCCCTCGTCCTCCCGCTCCTTCCCTTGCTTTTCCTTACCACCCCTCCTCTCCCTTTAAAAGGACGGGTGTGAGGGGACAGAGTGGATGGACGAGTGGACGGGGGCGGAGAGGGAAGATATGAGGGGGAAGAGTGGGGTAGACTTGGTTAGGAGGAGTGATGAAAGATAATGGGGGATGAATGGAGAACGATGGGTGAGGATACTGACACAAAAACAACACAGCGGAGCATTGATAAGACGAGGGGGGGGAGGACGGGGAGTTGTTGAAGCAGGAAGAGGATGGGAAGAAAAGAGGACCAAGAGGAGGAGGAGGAGGAGGAGGAGGAGGAGGAAGGAGGAGGGGGAGGAGGAGGAGGAGGAGGAGGAGGAGGAAGATCAGGATGAGGATGATGGCGGCGGCAGAGGTGGGTCAGAGCACGATGAGGATGGAGGATACGAAGTGACCCAGCCGCGCGTCAGGAGGGAGGATGCCGAGGCTGCGGAGGAGGTGGAGGTAGGGGGAGGACGGCGGTGGTGGTGGAGAAGAAAGATCACGCGAAAGGGAGCCAGGCCCCGCACGATGCCTTCAACGCCACGGCACAAACAACTCGTCCTGAATGCAACGTTGCAAACACAGCGCGCCACGGCACAAAAAACGCCACGGCACACAGCCATCAGGTTGACCCCTCCTGAATGCAACGTCGCAACGCACGACCAACATGGGTTGGAGTCTGCTCATGTTAGGTCGGGCATGTCCTCTTACGGGGGGATTTTGGAAAAAAGAAAATGGTCAAGCTATACTCAAACATAGCCAAAGAGGCCCCACCCACAACCAAATTAGCTTTGTACTCGCAACCCAGGCACGGTGGCGGGATGGGCCTAAGGCCATTCGATCTGCCGCCCCCTGTCTGTGGTCTTGCCACCAGGGTGCCTGGTGTGCTGGACCCTACCGTTTTTGGTGTTGGTTCTTTTCCCAAAGCACTCCCCCCTGGGGCTTCGGCCCAGCGCGCCGGCCACCCGGAACGCAGCACAATCCGCCGAACAAATTGCGCAATCGCTTCCAAGATGGCTCCCAAGATGGCCCAAGAGGGTCCAAAATGCCTCCACGTTCGCCCAAGAAGCCGCCAAGACGGCCTAAGACGGGCCCAAGATGGCCTCAGACGGCCCAAGAGGCCCCCAAGAGACCTCCAAGACGGCACAAGAAGCCCCCAACAGGGCCTCCAGGAAGGCGTGCAAAGGCACAAAGCAATGATTTCTGACAGGTGTTTGAAGGATTTTGGCGCTTGTTTCTGTTCGGCCTTCCGGCCGCCCGAGACGGCCCACGAGCCGCCCGACAGGCATCCAAGAAGGCCCCATAACAGCCCAGAAAGTTCCCAAGACGTCCCCAAGGCAGCCCGAGAGGCCTCCAAGACGCCCAGGGTGGCCTCAAAACGGCCCTGGAGCACCCCAAGAAGGCCCCAAATTGGTTCAGAGAGGCCCCCAAGACGGCTTCCGCAAAGGCCCCCGAGAGGTCCAAGGAGGCCCCCAAGATGCCTCCAAGAAGCCCCCAGTAAGCTCCCAGGAGGCGCCAAGAGTGCCCCCAGAGGCTCCCAAGATGCCCCCTCTTCTTCCTCCTCCTCCTCCTCCTCCTCCTCCTCCTCCTCCTCCTCCTCCTCCTCCTCCTCCTCCTCCCCCTCCTGATCTTCCCCGCCATCCTCCCCCAAGTGTTCCCCGAAGGGTTTCCACCCCGGCTGGGGGAACGCATGGTCCGACAGCCTGGCAGAGCTCTGGCCACAGCGTTCAGCCACATGGGCGACTCCAAAAGGCAGGGGGGCGGCGGCGATTCGCCGCAGGCGTCTTTGGTGAACGTTTCCGCCGTTGGGGACGCCTGCCCCAGTGGCGGCTGGACAATCTACACCCCAACGCGGCACCGCAGGGGTGAAAACTTTGCAGCCGCCCAGGGGGCAGGCGTCCCCAGCGGCGAAACAAGTCATGCCAGACCGTTCTTCGCCCGCTGAGCTCGGGGGCAACGCTGGGGGCGAAGAGTACACAAGGGGGAGCAAGACGCGTATCCAGGTGCGCCGATGGTCCATGCCTTCGGCGAGGCTCCTGGCGAATGCGTGCAATGCCCACCCCTCGGCTATTCGCCCGTATCATCGCCTTTGCTACGCTTACTTAGGTCGGGCATATCCCCTACAGGCGGGTTTTGGACGAAACATAAAAATAGTCAAACATATTCAATAGTGGTCAAACATAATCAAAACATAGTCCCCAGACCTATTTTTTTTGTGTGTGTGTGGGTGTGATTATTCTTGACTATTTCTACTGTAGAGGGACAGGCCCGACTCAACGCGAAGCCCCCGCCGTCGGCCGCCGCTGCCGTCGCAGCCGCCGCGGCCGCCGCCACTGCTGCCCGGCGGGGCGGTCGGCGGCCTGCGCTGCCCGCGGCGTGGGATCGCGGGAGGGCCGCCGCCGGGCCGGCAGGACCTGTGCCACGCGCAGCGGGGGCCCCTCCTCCTCCTGGTTCTCCCCTACTCGTCCTCGTCCTCGTCCTCGTCCTCCCCGTCCTCCTCCATGTCCTCGTCATCGTCGTCGTCGTCGTCGTCGTCGTCGTCGTCGTCGTCGTCGTCATCGTCGTCCTCGTCCTCCTCCTCCTCCTCTTCCCTCTCCTCCCGTGGCCTGCAGCTGTGCGAATGCTGCTGCACGCCCCCGGCTGTGGCTCCCCTGTAGGGCCCTTGCGCGGACTTCTGATCCGATCCGATCCCTCTTCTCCTCCTCCCCTTCCTCCTCCTCCTCCTTCTCCTCTTCTTGTTCCTCCTCCTCCTCCTCCTCCTTCGCCTCCTCCTCCTCCTCCTCCTCCTCCTCCCTCTCCTCCCGTGGCCTGCAGCTGTGCGAATGCTGCTGCACGCCCCCGGCTGTGGCTCCCCTGTAGGGCCCTTGCGCGGACTTCTGATCCGATCCGATCCCTCTTCTTCTCCTCCTTCCTCCTCCTCCTCTTCGCGCCTTCCTCCTCCTCCTCCTCCTCCTCCTCCTCCCTCTCCTCCCGTGGCCTGCAGCTGTGCGAATGCTGCTGCACGCCCCCGGCTGTGGCTCCCCTGTAGGGCCCTTGCGCGGACTTCTGATCCGATCCGATCCCTCTTCTCCTCCTCCCCTTCCTCCTCCTCCTCCTTCTCCTCTTCTTGTTCCTCCTCCTCCTCCTCTTCCTCCTCCAGCTCCTCCTCCTCCTCCAGCTCCTCCTCTACTCCTCCTCAAGGGTCGCTCCTCCTCTTCTTCTTCTTCTTCTTCCTCCTCCTCCTCCTCCTCCTCCTCCTCCACTCCTCCTGAAGGACACCACATGCACTCATCAGATCGTCCCCCCTCGTTTGTCCCCTCTCGCGCTCCTTTCTGACCATCCCCTTCCCCCCTGTATGGGCAGTGAGCATCCCTGCTCCTCATGCTCCTGCATCTCCTTCCCCCTTGTCCTCCTGCCTCCCTCCTAATCCTCCTCCTCCTGCTCCTTCCTGTCTTTTCTCCTTCAGTGGAGGAAAGAAGTCCTGGAGGTCTTTCGTCGCATTCGGGCTCCTAAGGCTGTGGCCGTCAGAAAATGGCTCGGAATGGAGAGCCCGTCCCAGGAAAGGCCCTGAGGGCCAAGACCTGTTTCCACGAGGGCTCCGTTCCCCTCATGCATGGGGGGGAGGGTCAGGAGGAGGATCGAGGATCGAAGAACTTTCTGGATTTTTTTGGGATATCTATGGAGCATCCAGAAGCCTTTGGGGTCCTCCTCCTCCTCCTCCTCGGTTCTCGATCCTGGATCCTTCACCTCCTCTTCGATCCTCCTCCTTTGCATCGGTCCTGGATCGTCCTCCTTCTCTTCCTCTTCGATTCTGGATCTTCGATCTTTGTCGATATGGGCCAAAGAGAGGCCCGGTACAGAAGGCGTGGGGGGGGGACGGTGAGGTGAATCGCGAATCGTAGCTTCTGGGTGTTTCTGGGGCCACCCGATGCGCCTTCGTCGCTGCGGCTGTGGGTCCCCCTTCCAGAATGCTGGCCAGAGCGCGATCCACAGGAGAAGAGCAGGACCTGCTGCATCTGCTGCTGCCGCCACACACACTCACAGCGAACCCGAGTCACCGACACTCCTTCTCCTCCTCCTCCTCCTCCTCCTCCTCCTCTTCCTTCTCCTCTTCCTCCTCCTCCTCGGCCTCCTCCTCCTTCTCCTCCTTCGCCGGTGTTCACTCTTCCTCTGCACCTCTGCATCCTTGCTTCACTTGCTCCTCCCTCGTTTCTCCGGCAGGACGATGCGGAGGATCCGGGAGGGGGAGTCTGACAACCTCTGCATTCTCCTCCTCCTCCTCCTCCTCCTCCATTCCTTCTACATCACTCCTCCCTGTCGCACCCTCAGGCGTGTCGGTAGGGTAGGCCAGCGTTTCGGTTACAATCCTGAAGCTTGAAACTTGCAGTAGTTTCACGGATGGGTGGCGGGAGGTTTTCCCAATGTGGCTCTCGCCGTAGCGCCGCGCACATTCGGCTTTAAAAGCTTGCAGCACTCTCGCAGATGGAGAGCGGCTCCTTTTCAAAATATGGCTCTCGCCATCGCACTGCGCACAATTCGTGTTGAACATTTGCAACAATTTCACGAATGAAGGGCGGATCAACTTTTTAAAGATGTGGCTCTCGCCTTAGTGCCGCGCGCATTCCTTTAACAATTTGCAGCAATTTCGCGGATGGATGGCGGGTGGCTTTCCAAATGTGGCTCCCGCCATGGCGCTGCGCACCTTCGGCTTCAACAAATTGCACCAACTTCAAGGATGGAGGGCGATTCTTTTTCCCAATGCGGCTCTCGCCTTAGCGCGCACATGTGTCTTGAAAGTTTGACAGTTTGAAGGGTTCGTATGGTTGAAGTCCCAGGATTGGTGTTCTGGCACGGTTTAGGACTTAGGATTGTCAAGATGCAACAATCACGCTGATTCGCGGTGTCGGAATCCCAGGATTGGTGTTCTGGCACGACCCAAGATTGCCAGGACGCAGCAGGCACGCTGATTCGCGGCGCTGAAATCACAAACACTCTGGTTTGGCACGGGTGGAGATTCTGCGACGTCTGTCTTCCCATGGGAGACAGCCCGCAATGACAATCCATTGTTGCATGGACCTGTGAAGAGGGAACTTGGAAGGACGGTTTCTTGCAACATCGTTGATGCGTCCTGGACTTTCACGGGTCCTCCTTCCTTCTCCTCATCTTTCCTCTCTCTCTACCTCTCTCTTAGGCGGCGCGCCCGGGGGGAAGTGAGAAGGGGCGGCCCTTCTCAGAAGGCTGGAAGCCCCCTGGACTTCTGAGAAGTGTTCTAAGCCTTCCCCGCAAGCGCAAAAACAAAACACCTCGCGCAAGGAGCGGGGGCTTCCGAGAAGTCCCGCCGCCTCCTGAGAAGGCCTTCTCCTTCTCACCTCCCCGCCCCGCCTCGCTCCCCGCCGATCTCTCTCTCTCTCTCTCTCTCTTTTTTTTTCTCTCTCTCTCTCTCTCTTTCTCTCTCTCCCAGCCTCCTCGTCAAGTATCCTTCCTTCCTTTTGCCCCTCTTCCCTCCTTCCTTCATCTACTTATCTCCTCCTGCGGATTTCCCCCTTGCCGCCGCTCGTCCTCCGTCTCCCCCATCCTCCCCCTTTGCATTACTCTTTCTCCTCGCCCCTACAAGACATAGCAAAACAACCCACCCTCGTCCTCCTTCCCAAACTCTCCCATGCCTCCTCCTCCTCCTCCTCCAGCTCCTCTTCCTCGTCCTGCTCCTCCTCACCCTTTTCCTCTTTCTCCCACTCCTCCTCCTCCTCCTCATCCTCTTCCTCCCCTCCCTCAACCTTCTCATCCAAGCAACTCTCATGGACATCGTTTCTGGATGGACTGGTGGGAATACGCAACACGTCAACCCCTCGCACCACTTCAAGACGAATAAAGCAAACTCATGTTGTCCGACCTTGCCCACTCTCGCGCAACATCGCCTCACCCGTACGCGCGACGCGAACCAAAACCGTCACCGATCTAACCGATTTCCTGGTTGAGGTCGCTTCGATCTCTCCACCAACCTCCAACACTGGGGATGAGTAATCGTTATTTGTGCCATCCCACATACCCTGCGTCTGCACGGGGTGATCTTGTGCCAACAACAGAGCGAACGTAACTGGATTGATCTTTGCAAGCAACGAACAACATGCACACCACCGTGAGTGGGGAACCCATTGAAACGAATCGGCACTCCAAAATTAGCTGGAGGCCTCCTGAACAAGATCAGAGCAGATGGGTCGGAAGACCGCGCCGCATCAACGATGCATCGGTGACGTCGGCGGTGCATCGGCGCCGACGGCGTGGAGACAAACGGGCCCCACATCGAACCGCATCGGTGATGCATCGGCGATGCGGCGCGATGCTCCGACCCCATCTACTCGGACCCCATCCGGGAAGCCACCGGAGCCATGTTGGCTCAACCTTTTGTATTTCCCTGCGAAATAAGTGGATACCGCTAGTCCGCGGCAATGCCAAAGTGCTTGCACCCGACGTTTCCTCCGACTGGTTCGCTCCAATACGGATTCCATTTCTCGCTTGGAGTTCGCCCTCCAAGCTCACCATCACGGCTCCTCTCCAGCGATGTCCTGGGGCCAACAGGGGTACTTCGGCAAGGGCAAGGGCTTCCCAGGTCTCCCTGGGCGCACTGGTTCTGGCTGGCCCCCTCTGGTTCCTAGCCCTCAGCACGGCGCTGGTGCTGGTGCCGACGCAGTCCAGATCAAGAGGTGGAAGTGCGGAGTTTGTGGGTGTGCCAAGAATGCTGCGAGGTTCTTCTACTGCAAGCACTGTGGGTCGTTCAAGCCTTCCGCTGGCCAATCCTCGGCCTGGCAACGGGATGCGGCCCAACAACTCTTCGGGCACACACCGGCCACCCTGGCAGCTCCGCGTGGGACACCAAGGTGCCCCCATGGAGAGCTGGAGGAGGGCCCTCCCCAGGCACAGGCTGCGGCGGCAGCCAAGCCAAGGGTGGGGGCCAACAGCCCCAGGCCATGGGAGCTGGCGCTGCGACTGCGAGCCTTTCGGCGGAGGAGTACGAGACCATGGCAGCACTGCACGACAAGCTCGGCGATGGGAAGCAGGCCGAGTCGTTTCGTCGGGCCGCCAAGGCTCTCGCGACGCCGAAGGAAGCTCCCGAGTCTGTCCAGGTCCGCCTCAACAAGGCCCACTGGAAGATGCGGGGTGCCAACAAGAAGCTCGAGGCAGCGCTGCAGAAGCACGAGTCATTGGAACGCCAACTCGCGGAGCAGAAGACGGTGGTCCTGGAGCTGCGCAGTGAGCTCATCTCTGCAGAGGCCGAGCACAACTCCGTGGTGCAGTGCCTGCTGGATTCTCAGGAGATGCAGAAGGACAAGTCGCCGTCGACTCAGTGCAAGCTGTCGCTGGAGGATATCATGGATAAGAATCGTCTCGCACAGGTCTTCGATATCAGTGCTTGTGATTTGTTCACATGTGACGGCCTTGACCTCGACGAAGAGGACAACGTGGAGATCGAGTCGCATATACATCAGCTCAACCAGGGCCTCTCGTCCATGGCAGGTGCGTTGTTTGCCGATGCGAAGCAGAAGATGGACGAGCTCAGGCAGACGCACGCGGCGCACCTCAAGAGGTTGGCAGCCAAGCGACGGCGCACCGACGAGGACGAGGAGGCAGAGCTGCAGGGCAGTGGCGGTACACGGCGTGGAGACAGGCCTTTACTGCCGAAGCTGGGTTGGCCAAAAGGCAGTCATCATGCAGCGTGCTCTTTGACCTCCGTAAGTTCTACGAGAGCATTTGTCTCAAAGAGCTCAGGCGCAGATGTGAGAATCATGGGTTCCCGCTGGCCATCGCCGGGCTGCGCATCTTTGCGTACATATGTGGCCGCCTCCTGTGCTTGAGAGGATGGCTGGAGGGCCCCTTCTTTTGTCTTCGAGGCGTCGTGGCTGGCCGTTCGATGGCCACGATGTTCATCAGAGTGTTCTGCCAGGACGGGTGCGATTTCCTGCCAGCTCAACCCAGTCTGGACCTCGACGTGTATATCGACGATCGAGGTCTGTCATGTACGGGCCCCTCTAGGGTCGTCATCAGATCGGTCCTCGAAAGGGCCGAGGAGCTCCACGGCGTTGTTGAGTCTAGTTTCGGTTGCTCTCTCGCGTTGGACAAAACTGCCGTTGTGGCCTCCTCGAAGGCGATGGGAGATGAAGTGTCTTTTGAGCTTTCCCGCCATGGAGGAACTTTTCCCTCGAGTGCTGCCAACCTAGGTGTGGATTGCACGGCTGGTCGAGCGCTCAGGGTCCAAGGCCGCCCGGTTAAGTCCAACGCCCGGATTGCGATAGTTCTCGCGCTGCCCATCGCCTCAAGAGGCAAAACAATATTTTGTCTCGGCCCCAGGTGTTGCGGGTTTTCTCGGCGGGCCCCCTGGCGGGGGCTTCGTGCGGTTCTGAAATCACGGGCGCTGGTGATTTGGAGCTGTTGCGCCTGCGTGTGCACATTTTTTTGGTAGTCAGACCTCGCTCTCAGCTTCGCTCTATGACCACTGTCGCGCAGCTTGAATTTCCTCCAATGGACAGTCGCACGATGGATGCTGCTCTGGCCGCTGAGGACAACAAAGAAAACGAATGTGTGTTCATCTCAAGGCCTTTCCGCCACCCCGCCGACCGTTACCCGAAGCCCCTCACCGAGTCGGATGATGTGCCTTTTCTTGTGCGGCACCAGAAAGACCTTGTCTCTCCCTCGGGTTTGGCTGACACCCAGGTCTGGGGCGATGTCTTTATCGACGGGTCTAGCAGCAAGCACGTCATTCGTGAGCTTTCTCGTGCCGCCAGCAATGTTGTTATGGTCGACAGTATGGGTGGCTCTGTGGCTGAATTCAGGGCCCCAGTTTGGGCCCCGTATCCCCAGACGCCCCAGTTAGCCGAATTCAGCTGTTGGACGTGGGCCAATGTACTGGCCTCGTCTAAGATCTCGGTGTATTCGGATTTCAGTAATGTTGTCAAACTGGCCAGCAGGCCCAGAGAACAGCTCTCGGGTAAAAGGGCATACTCAGGAGCGTTCTTGCAACTGTACGCCCAGGGCATCAAGCCTGCCCAATGCTTCAAGGCAGCCGCTCACAAAGATACAGATGAGAGCGGAACCGATGCTGTCGAGCGCTGGAAGCGCCTCGGCAACCACCATGCGGACGCCGCGGACAAGCACGCCGTTCGTCTGCACCCGTCTTGTCAGGACCAACTGGACGCTGCGGACAAGCTCGTTTCTTTTGCGCGCCAGGCGACTCGTTTGGCGGCCCATGTGCTGCACGTTTGGCCAACCTTGGATCTCCCCGAGGTTGAGCGAGTGCCAGCCGTGCCCTCTGCCGCCCTGGCGCCAGCAGGACACCGCTGGGAATCCTGGTCGGGAGTGTGGCGTTGTGCTGCGTGTCGTCGAGGGAGGGGGTCGGTAGGGAAGCCCCCTCCTGGGGCCTGCCCTCTCGACGCTCCGCTGCACGCCTTGTGCCAGGACGCCCTCGAGCACCGCACGATCGCGTCCGACTGCTCAGACGGCCCTGTTCTTTTCACTTGCACGCGGTGCGAGTCGTACTCCAGCGGTGCTCCAGTGCGAGGCCTCGGGGCCAAGCGCCAACCGCCGCCATCTCGAGCTGCGGGACATCGCTGGAGTGCGTTGTGCAACGGGCGGGCGTCGCCTGCATTACAAGCTCCGTGCAGCGGGTGTCACACGTGGACACTGACAGTCTGTTGCGGTGCTTCAGCACTTACGCCTGAGTTTGTTTCGGGCCCCCCCGCTCTTCGTCATAGCGGGAGGGCGCCTGATCCTCGCTAAGAGGTCTTCGATGCGGGCGTGGAGCTCACAAAAAAACAGATGGGAAGCCTAGATGCACCAAGAAACAACGAATCGTGAACCATTCCAAACAATCATGTCCAATTCGAATAATGCCTTGGCAATCTAAACGGTACTGGCAACCATCGCGCTCAAATGCATGAAGGAACAATTGCTCTGGTACTCAGAACTTTTCAAGCTGGTCAACACTGACTCTGCTGGTCACCCCACGCACTGGTTCAAAGTGACCTGGCCACTGCTTAACAAAGGTAGAGGAAGAAACGATACTGATGATAACAAGAGGTAAACAGAAACACACAAATATTGTGTTGACCATGTCGACACACGGACCGGTTATTCGCCCATGGCGCACATAGGCCAATCCAAGCTGGCCGCCAGAAGGCAACTCGGTCAGACCCTCATCTACCGTAGCTGCCAGATCGAAAACTGTGGCATCTGCTGCCGCTCGCTTTTGCCTGCGGGCCCATCGAGGGAGGAGGCAAAGGATGGTAAGACGAGGAGGACGAGACAAGAAGAAGGACTTTGCGCCGCTCTGAGCGTGTCCAATGCGGCAACGAGCGCGCAGATGGTCACATCATGCTGCCCGTTGTCGCTGCTGTTCTGACAACGAGCCGTCGGAACCCGTGTGGAGAAACCGGGGGACGTCTGGGGTCGCCTCATGGCGCTCCCCTCTGCCCACGGGCGGCGGATTCATGGCGTGATCATTCTTCCGAGTCCGATGCAATGTCAACCCTCCTCCTCCTCCTCCTCCTCCTCCTTCTCCTCCTCCTCCTCTGCCACTGCTTCTGTCCCCCCTTCTGACGCCGGGAAAGACGCCTGCCTCCCCTGAGGGCCTACGGCCTGGACCAGACTGGGCACGGGCCCTCCGTCGGCACGTCGTGCGGGATCGGGGGGTGCTCCTGGGGCCGGATGCTGAACGCCATGACCTGCCCGGTGGGGATGTGCTGCTCCATGTGGCAGTGGAAAAGCCACACGCCGGGATTGTCCGCCTTGAACCGGATCACCGCCCAGCTGCGGCGCCAGAGGCTTATCATGTCTTTCTGCAGCGGCGCCTCCAACATTCGGCCTTTGCTGTCTTTCTCGGCGTCGTAAGGGCAACCCCAATAGGCGTCGTACGGAAACTTGGTCCCAGGGTCTCCAGCCCGGGCGCCGGGGCAGTCCAGTGTCTTCGCCACGGAGAGCGGCAGGAAAAAGCACTCGAAGTGGCCAGCGCTGCACCATGATTCCGAGTAAGGGGCGTAATTGATCACGGAGAAAGACGCACCGTGCATGTGGAGGACGTGAGCCGTGGGGGACAGATTGTTGATGATCAGCTCGACGGTGGTGGCGTTTTCGGGCACCTCTATGAATGGGACGCCCTCGGCCCCGCACTGTCCCCTCGTGTGCAACAGCGGGGTCAGCGGCTTCTTCCAGGGTGTGTGGTTCGTGAACATGTACATGCGGTCGGTCGTCGCGTACGGGTCGACAGGAGTAAACTGCGGGCCCACAACACCCACGTCGAGGACATACGTCACGTCCGCCTGCTCTGGCTCTGGGACCACCTCCAGGTTCCTGACAGCGCTCCAAGACGAGCGCTCGTTCGTGTTCCAAGTGATGCCCGTGCCCTTGCCTGGCTTCTCGCCGCCGCCAGTGCCGGCTGGAGGGCTGTAGCCTCCGAGCAGCTTCTTGCCAGCCTTGCTCGTGGGGGGCGCCTGCCCCTCGTAGTGGAGGAAGGCCCAGAAGTTGCAGGAATCCACCTTGGGCATGTGCGGCGCGGGGGCCTTCTCCAAGAAACACGCCAAGTCATACGTCGCAGTCATCAAGTAGTTGCCCGGCTCCTGATCTGCGCAGATGACCACGTCCGCGCGCTCGCCGGCGTGGAGGTTGAACTGGGTGACGTTCACGGGCACCACGTCCTCGCCGTCGACAGCGATGAGGGTCATGTTGTGGCCGGCCATGTCGATCAGGAAGTTCTGGGTCTGCCCCATCATGCCGATGAAGCTGGAAGAAGAAAGAACGGTACAAACACAACTTTTGGCGCTCCGCGCGGATTTCTTGGATCTGCGCTGGACCTCGCTCCCTGGCGCGCGGAGCGCGCCAGGGGTGGCGCCGGAGGCGCTGCCGGGGGACAGGGGCCCGGCGCGGATCCAAGAAATCCGCGCCGAGCGCGCAAAAGTTTATGTTTATGGCGTTTTGTCTTCTTCGAGAAGCGCAGGCGGTAGCACTTGCCCTGCTGCACGGTGACCAGCGGCCAGGGGTACTCGGCGGAGCCGTCCCCCCAGACGCCGTTCCACGACGCCTTGTCTATCTCGGCGCACACGGGGTTTCCTGGCTGCGCGCCCTCGGCCCTGAGGCACGCATCCGCGTTCGGCCATTCGTCGCTGAGCGCCACGATGCGCTCCTCGTTGTAGAGCGAGGCGTGCGGGTCGCTGCGCTTGCGGATGACAATGGGCCCCTTGAGGCCGCGATCGGCCTGCTGAGCCTGCATGTGTGCGTGCCAGAAGTGAGTGCCGGAGTTGGCCCTGAAGCGGTAGGTGAAGACACCGCCCTGCGGCGAGATTCCCGCCTGGGTGACCCCGTAGACACCGTCCATAGATGGGAACCCACGCATCTTGACGCCATGCCAGTGAATCGAAATGGACTCCGACAGCAAGTTGTTGACAATCGTGACGCAGATCAGTTCGTCCTCGTACGCCTCTACGAGCGGCCCAGGATAAGAGTCGTTCACCAAGAGGGCTGCCTTCTTGTTGCTCATCGGGATATCGAATGGTGCCTTTCGCGAGGCTTTCCCGCCAAGGTCCGCGGTAGGTCGCAAATAATCGACCACCCAGTCACGAGTGTCCCAAACGTAACGCACATCGCAGTCATCGCCAGCAGTTGCAAAGCTCGGGGCCGCGGCCGAAACGCCGCCACCACTCTGCCGGAAGGCGGGGGCGAAGCGTCGAACTCCCAGCGTGGCGGCGCCTGCAGCCAAGCACGCGGAACAGATCGCAAAGACGCTTGCGCGGTGAGCGCCACGTGCCTCGCGTCCGGCCCCGGGGCCCGCCACGTCTCGCGCCTGGCCGGCCTCCATCTGGGCAGGAATCTCGAGGTGGGCAGCAGTTACAGAGACGCTCCCCAGGGGCGCAACGCTGCGCGCTGACCGCGGGCGTAATCCGACACGGTCTTGAACCAAAATGGCTACGGACCACACATGCGAAGAAGAGATGAAGTAACAGATCAATACGAAATGACCCGCGCCACGGGAATTCATGAATCGCTGTTGCAGCGCACGCCTTTTGCAATGGAATGAACTAATCCGCCACCGTGCCGGTGGCACGACTTGGAGTGCCCCAAAGCTCATGCAGACCTGAGAGGTAGAGGCCCAGACCTCCGACGTCATGATTGTTTCATGACGCGACTCCCAAAGGTCCGGACCCATTCCCCGGGACCGGATTTTCATCCTGAGTCGTTTTTTGACGGTCCCGAGGCCCTGGGAAGGGCCCCCGGAGGCCGAAGATTGAGAAACACCTCCCCTTGTGTTTTCTTGACAGCGCGAGGGGGTCTGGGGGGCCTGTAAGGATTATCAGGGCCCAAGCCCGACATTTCCCGGGCGGTTCCCGGTCGCCCTCGGTCGGGGTGCGTCGAGTGGGTCTCCGGGATGGTCCCCTCGCTCAGGAGGGCCCAGGCGGGCCAAGACAGCCCTGGGCGGCCGCGCCCAGACTGTCCGGGAGCGCACAACATCGCCGAAAGATCGCTCAGCGACGCCCAGGATGACCTCCAGACGGCACACAAAAGAGGCCTCGAAGACGCCCCCAAGACGCCTCCAAGAGCGCTCCCAAGACAAGAGGGCCCCAAGAGGCAAACACACTTCGTTTTCCGAACGTCTTGGAATGATCTTGGCGTTCTCGCATTTTCGGCCTCCCGACACTCCAAGGCGGCCCAAAAAGCCCCACTGTCGCCCCAAGACCGCCGAGAAGGCCTCGCACCCGAGACGGCCCAAGGCGCCTCGAAGACGGCCTGAGAGCCTCCCAATACGGCTCCAAGAGGGGGCCTAGACGGGGGACCCGAGCGGACACTTCGAGCCCTCGGCCCCGAGAGGCCCCCATGAAGCCCCAAGAGGCTCCCAAGAGGCCCAAGAGGCCCCAAGAGGCCCCAAGAGGCCCCCAAGGGGCCCCCAGGAAGCCCCAGGAGGCACCCAAGAGGCCCTCCAGAGGCACCCAAGAAGTTCCACAACTGCCCCCCAGAGTCTGGCAGAGGTCCCCGAGAGCGCTCCGAAGAGACCCTAAGAAGAATCCCTGATGACTCTGACCCACAACCCAGGCACGGTGGCGGGATGGGCCGAATGCCATTCGATACTTCATGCGATACATTGTTTCTACGATGGAATGTCCGCGCAACGGCGACATCCTCTGTGGGTGAATCATACATCTTTGCCGCCTGGAATCCCAGTCCCCCGGACGAGAGAAAACGGCCTCGTGCTTTCTAGGGGAGGCTCTGGGTGGCAAACCACATGCGAGCCTTTTTCTTGTTGGGTGGGTGGGTGCGGGCGGAGGCCGATGGCAGTGTCGGTAGCCTCGGCAAGCTCCTGCCACCAGCTCGAGAAGCAGTCCTCTCTCGATGCTTACAGAAGCGGCGGCGGATCGAACGCTGTCTCGAAATCGCCTCCCCTTGCCACCTCTCCTCCCCTCACTCCTCCCCGCGTGGGCTGGACGACGCGGGGGGGGGGGAAGGCACAGCAGGTCTCCGCGACTCCGCTCCACGCCGCTGGGCTTCCTGGCAACTCGTGGCGCTAGAGAGGCGCCCGTGTGCATCGAGCCCGTGCCCAGCGGCGGGGCTGAAACCAGCGGCGCGCAACAGATTTCGCCCCCCCTAAAACAGGGCTAGGATCGGGATAAATCGCTCCAGAGCGTTCCGGAGCGCTCTCAGAGCGTTCTGGAACGCTCTGGAGCGGCCGCGGCGCCCAATACATCCTCCAAACCCGCCGATTCTCAGAGATTTCGAGTTCTCCCGATCCGATTTTGTCCCGATCTTCGCGTCGTTTTACCCCCCCCCGCCCCGCCCTGTCCCCGTCCCCCCCTCCCCCGTTTCGCCCGACCCGGCCTGAGAACTGGAAGCCTCCTGGCCAACGCGTTGCGCCGGCGGCGCCGGCGTGGCGAACCACGGGCTCTGCATCGGGCAACGTCGTCGATGCGTCGGCGATGCGGCGCGATCCTCCGACCCCATCTGCTCGGACCCCATCTGCGTAGGATGAAGTCGGGCCTGTCCCCCTACAGGCCGATCTTGCACGACAAATGAACGATACAAAATTCAGAAATTATCCTGGTGAAGGACCCAACCATATGCAATTGTGAATAACGCTTTGTGGGTGCTGCTTTCGGTGGGGCTCCTTATGGGGCCATGAAAGGCGTGCCACGAAACGCTTTCCTGGGCGTACGGGACGCATGAGGGCGGTAGCCCTGGGGCCTTCGGTGGAACTCCCTATGGGGCCACGAAACGTGTGAGGGGTGTGCCGAAAATGGTGCGGCCCCGCCATGCGAACGCAGCCACTGGGGCCTTCGGTGGAGCTCCCTATGGGGCCACGAAACGTGTGAGAGGTGTGCCGAAATGGGTGCGGCGCCGCCATGCGAACGCAGCCACTGGGGCCTTCGGTCTCCTTATGGGGCCACGAAACGTGTGAGGGGTGTGCCGACATGGGTGCGGCGCCGCCATGCGAACGCAGCCACTGGGGCCTTCGGTGGAGCTCCCTATGGGGCCACGAAACGTGTGAGGGGTGTGCCGAAATGGGTGCGGCGCCGCCATGCGAACGCAGCCACTGGGGCCTTCGGTGGAGCTCCCTATGGGGCCACGAAACGTGTGAGGGGTGTGCCGAAATGGGTGCGGCGCCGCCATGCGAACGCAGCCACAGGGGCCTTCGGTGGACCTCACTATGGCATCTATGGGGCCACGAAGCGTGTGAGGGGTGTGCCGAAATGGGTGCGGCGCCGCCGTGCGAACGTAGCCACTGGGGCCTTCGGTGGAGCTCCCTATGGAGCCACGAAGCGTGTGAGGGGTGTGCCGAAATGGGTGTGGGTGACGCATGCGGGCGCGGGCACTGGGGCCTTCGGTTGAGCTCCCTATGCAGCCACGAAACGTGTGAGGGTGTGCCGAAATGGAGTCCCTATGCGAACGCAGCCACTGGGGCCTTCGGTGGAGCTCCCTATGGGGCCACGAAGCGTGTGAGGGGTGTGCCGAAAATGCGGGTGCCTTGTGCTTCCCTATGGGGCCACGCAACGCGAAATGCGGGGCGTGCGGGCACTGGGGCCTTCGGTGGAGCTCCCTATGGAGCCACGAAACGTGTGAGGGGTGTGCCGAAATGGGTGTGGGGGACGCATGCGGGCGCGGGCACTGGGGCCTTCGGTGGAGCTCCCTATGGAGCCACGAAACGTGTGAGGGGTGTGCCGAAATGGGTGTGGCTGACGCATGCGGGCGCGGGCACTGGGGCCTTCGGTGGAGCTCCCTATGGAGCCACGAAACGTGTGAGGGGTGTGCCGAAATGGGTGTGGGTGACGCATGCGGCCGCGGGCACTGGGGCCTTCGGTGGAGCTCCCTATGGAGCCACGAAACGTGTGAGGGGTGTGCCGAAATGGGTGTGGGTGACGCATGCGGGCGCGGGCACTGGGGCCTTCGGTGGAGCTCCCTATGGAGCCACGAAACGTGTGAGGGGTGTGCCGAAATGGGTGTGGGTGACGCATGCGGGCGCGGGCACTGGGGCCTTCGGTGGAGCTCCCTATGGAGCCACGAAACGTGTGAGGGGTGTGCCGAAATGGGTGTGGGTGACGCATGCGGGCGCGGGCACTGGGGCCTTCGGTGGAGCTCCCTATGGAGCCACGAAACGGTGTACTGGGTGGGTGAAGAGGAGAGGAGGAGAGGAGGAGAGGAGAGGGAGGAGAGAGAGGAGAGGAGAGGAGAGGAGAGGAGAGGAGAGGAGAGGAGAGGAGAGGAACGCGGGGCACCGTCTCTTCAAAACGAGGACCCAACACCACAGGATGGTTGGGGAATACTAGAACTTAATTCATAAATGGTCCCCAGACTATTTTTCAAGTTTTTTATCAGAATATTTTTGAATTATCCTCCTGTAGAAGGGTACGCCCGACTTAAAGCTAGGAGGCCGCGAAGAGCACGGCTGCCCCAACCATCCCGGGCGGGCGGGGCACGCATGCAACCCGAAGGCAAGGCGAGGCGACCCGAAGGCGGAGGGGGGGCGACGCCGACGGCTGGACCGAAGGCCACAGCCAATCCGTATCACAGACAGAGGGCAGAGCATCCACCCCGACAATGACCACCCGGGCACGCGAAGCCGTGTAGCACCCAAAGAAGGAATCAAGCAGGGCCAGGCTGTTTCGTAAACGCCCAGGGCCGCTCAGTAAACGCCAGCTGTCTGGTCCAGGTGTTTTTCCCTCCCTTGAATGAGGGTGCATGGGAAGGGTGCAAGGGCCTCGGAAGGCCATGCCAACACTCTGCAAGCGGGGCGCGGCCAGCGAAAGCGGCCCAAGGAGGGGCCGAAGAGGCGAGGACGTGAGGGGAAAGTGGCCCATCCCTGCCCTGCGGGTGGACTGCAGAAAGGGGGCACGGCGAGCCCCTCCTCAGACTCCTCGGGCTGCGGCCGCGCAGCTCCCTGTCTCCCGCCTGGCTCCAGTGATCGGGCAGGCGCAGGACTCGGGCTCGGGGGGCTCGGGCTGGCCCGACCGGGCCGCCACAGAAACGACGATACCCACTCTGAAATCTGGCGCGGGCTTCCGCTGAAAGCATTTACGAAAACTGAGTCCGAGACCCCCTCCTCCTCCTCCTCCTCCTCCTCCTCCTCCTCCTCCTCCTCCTCCTCCACCAGAGTCCGAGACCCCATCAGTCTGTAGCTTCTTTCGAGCCGGATCGATCTGTGAGGGTCCCGGGGCCCGGAACAGGGCGAAGGCGCGTCGTGGAACAGGTACCAAACGCCACGCTCTCGAGAACGGCCAGGATGCAGGACGGGCCCGCCCAAAGGCGTCGGCAGACCCGAGTCCCCGCGAGCTCGAGCCTGACTGAAGGGGCCCTGGGACAAACAAATAAATACACACAAATAAAAAGATCCTTTATCTTTTCCCATATTTTCTGGGTTTTTGTCTTCCCGCCCAATTCCCATATTTTCCTATATTTTCTTGGGAATCGACGATCAATTGTGTGTGTGTGTTTTTTCCCTTCCTGACTGACGCTTCCCCGAGGGGAGCGCGCCAGTTACCACTCCGGGAGGAGCGAGGGGGCCCTGGCGGCGGCCCTTCAGCGACGCCAGGGGCGGGGCCGGGCTGGCAGAGAGGACGGGCGGGGCCAGGGCCGGGGTGGCGGACGGGCTGGGCCTGGCAGGGGGGGGGCCGACGCACCAGAAGCTTCCTAGAGGGGGCCGGAGCAGCTGGGGTCGGGGCATCGCGCCGCGTGGCCGATGCATCGGCGATGCACCGGCGATGTCTCGGCGACGCGGGCGACGCATGGGCGACGCAGGCGCGGAGAATGTCGGGCTCCACATCAGATCGCCGATGCGGCGCGGTCCCCCGAACCCATTGAGCGTTGCTTTATGGGAGGGCGGTGAATGGGGGGGGTGAAGAAAGGCACTGGGGAGGAGGAGGAGGAGGAGGAGGAGGAGGAGGAGGAGGAGGAGGAGGAGGAGGAGGAGGAGGAGGAGGAGGAGGATGGAGAGGGAGGAGGGAGGAGGAGATGGAGGAGGAGGAGGAGGAGGAGGAGGAGGAGGAGGAGGAGGAGGAGGAGGAGGAGGAGGAGGATTGGTTCTTGTCTGCGTAAAGGGGCGAATGGGAGCGTTGCGTGACTGGGTGTGTGAAGAAAGGTGCACCTTTTGGGCCCCCTGGGGCCCACCAGGGGCACCCAAGGTGCACGTTTCCCCTCCCCCTTCATCGCCCCCTCACTGAGCATCGCCCAGCCCATGTACCGTGGAGGCCAGTCCACAAGAAACCCATCTCGGAAGACCCCAGGGCGTCCATGGGATTTTTGGTGTGGGCACGTCAAGCTCTCCGTAGCGAAACCTTCGAAACCCAAGGAGCCCAGGGCGCCCGGGAGGCGGGCAGGGCGTTTCTTGGCATGGGCCCTCGCTGTACTCCGAACCCCCGCCCGGGAGGCCCACGGACAGAGGGGGCCTGGGGCAGGGGCCAGGACGACGCCGAGGTCGACCCGTGGTCCTGCCAGAAGAAAGAGCAAGCCCGCCGTCCCCACTGGGCGCTGCCCTCCCAAGAAAGGGGGGGTGGGGAGGGGGGGGCGAAGGAGCGTGCTCCCTTCGTGGTTCCAGAGGGCCCCATGTGGGGCCTCTGAGGTGCACGAGAGGGGCACCCTTCTCTTCACCTGCCCCCTCATCGCCCCCCCCCCCCCCCTCCATGACGCGACGCCCGACCGCGACGCCTCCTCCTCTTCTTCCTCCTCCTCCTCCTCCTCCTCCTCCTCCTCCTCCTCGCCAGGGCTGGCACCCTTGGAGCCCTTCGGGGGCTCTCGCGGAGGAAGGGCGGCCCGGGTGCGGCGGGGCCTGCCGCTGGCGCTCCGCGAGAGGAACCTCTGGGAGCTGCGCCGCGCCGTGAAGAGTCATGACCAGAACCCTGAATCTAAGTCGGGCCTGTCCCCCTACAGGGGGATTTTCGACGAAAGATTAAAAATACCCCAACAATAATCAAAACATATCCCAAAAATAATCGGGGGACTATTTTTTGAATATTTTCTGACCTTTTTGGAATATGTTTGGGGTATTTTTTTCGTCGAAAATCCCCCTGTAAGGGGACACGCCCGACATAACCCTGAATCCCACCGCTCTGCGGCATCTTTCTGTGGCAACTTATGGGAGCCTCTGGCCATCTGATGGGCTCCTGCGAGTCGACGCTCCTCGACGGTGGGTCGACGCCCGTGAACGCTAGCATGGACGCCAATCGGGGCTACATCGGCGATAGTCGTCTCATCAATGGCCAGACGCTGATCTGCGGCACTGGGAGAAGCGGGGACCCCTGCAGGTCCGACGACACGATCAAACGCAGCATCGTGAGGCATCACGGCCAGAGCCCTGGATCCCACACGAGCGACGAAAAGAAACGGGACTTGCGCATGATGACAGAGCGACCTTACGCGGTGGCGTATGCGGGCCGCCATCGCGGCACGCCGCATTGGAAGCGAGGGCGTTTACGCGC